TATCAGGGATAAACTGCCGGCTTTCGCTGCCGCCTCAAACCCGCTAGTCCCGACTCTAATCGACCCCAGAATGGCCGATTTTTCCGCAACGTTTTTCCGTCAACTACCCTGGTTACAGCATGTTCGGCTGATGGAAGAATCCCTCAAGTCAACGACTGCCAATGTCCTACAGAATCCAAATGCGGTGTGTGATACCACTGAGGCGATGCTGGCGCGGCAGGCTTTCCCAGCCCACCGTTCACCAAGCCCTAGTCTTTCTGACACCTACCATGTGAAACGACCAATGAATGCCTTTATGGTTTGGTCTCGAGGCCAGCGCAGGAAAATGGCCCAAGCGAATCCCAAAATGCACAATTCGGAAATTAGTAAACGATTGGGTGCCGAATGGAAACACCTCTCGGAAACTGAAAAACGTCCCTTCATCGATGAGGCAAAGCGGCTGCGGGCCACTCACATGAGGGAGCATCCGGACTATAAGTACAGACCGAGAAGAAAGACCAAGAGCTCTCTTAATCGAGAACGTTTGGCCTTTTCACAGACAATTATGCCGGGTACGTTCTGCAGACGCTGCATACTGCTGTATGAGCCGAATGCATCTTTTTCTCCCTAGAGTAGAAAGTAAAAACTGACAGCATTTAGACAATAAAAATGCCGTATTCGATTAAATGCGTGGTTATTAGGGTAAACTTTTGGAATTCCATGTCGAATATTCTCAAGTTAATCCACTGAAGCATCACACAATTCAAATTACGGTACCTAGTAACTGGAATATAGGCTGGTTTTACAGGCGCATGCCATCACAAACTCTGATATACCTAATTGGAAGTAGATTATAACGCAATTGGTACTCGAATTTCATAAGATAAAATGTCCAAATATAAAATTCGGGGCTAATGAAGACTCTTTTAAAAAAAGTGTTTTGGCTTGTAATTAAAGGGTCATTTGGTAGCCTGTATTAAATACTGCCAGCGCCTCCTAGTCCGAAGTAAAACTGCAATCCATTAGGCAAACTCCTGGGTCTTA